TTTTAGTCAAACAAGGATAAAAAGATTAAATTTATATGGAGTTAAAGCTTCTTAAAAACTTAGTGTGGAATATATTTAACTCTAACAAATTGCTTTAACAAGACTTTCTAGCACTAGGTTCATATTACCCTGAAAATCACCAGGCTAAGCATACATTATATTTTGAAGGAAAGAGCAAGAAGCAACTCATTTATAATTTAGCTTTCAGATAACGTTATCTGGTTATTGAGGGAATGCAAAACATTACCACCTTATAGCAATATCATCTAATACTTCAGTGGTAAATATAAATATTGAACAAATAAGAGGAAGACAGAATGAAGGGAAGTAACATTTATGAAGCACTCTTTATGTGTCACACATTGTTTCTTGGTGCTTTTACATTTGTTACTTCATTTAACCCTTGAGACAATTTCAGTCATTGGGATGCCTGGTGGCTCAGTCTGTTAAGTAGCTGACTTCAACTCAGGCCATGATCTCACAGCTCATGAGTTCAAGCCCTAAGTTGGGCTCTGTGCTTACAGGTCAGCGCTTGGGAGTCTGCTTTGGATTCTGTGTCTCCATCTCTCTCTGCCCCTCCCCTGCTCATGCTCTGTCTTTTCTTTCTCTACAAAAAAAAAAAAAAAAAAAAAAAAAAAGAAAACAGGGTGCCTGGGTGGCTCAGTCGGTTAGGTTAGGTAGGTATCCAACTATGGCTCAGGTCATGATCTTGCAGTTCATGGTTCGAGCCCCACCTTGAGCTCTCTGATGACCACTCAGAGCCTAGAGCCTGCTTCAGGTTCTGTTTCTCTGCCCTCTCTCTGCCCCTCCCCCTGGTTGTGCTCTCTCTCTCTCTCTCTCTCAAAAATAAATAAAAACATTAAAAAAATTAAAAAAAAACAAATAAGTTCAGTCACTTAGATATTTTAAATGAGAAAACTGAGATTCTAAGAGGTTAAATAACTTGCCTATAACCACCCTGAAAGAAAACAATTCTATTAAAAGTCTACTCCAATGCAACAGTAAAATTCTTTTTTTGTTTTCCCTTTACTGCCTCTCTTGGAAGGTGAATCCTCAAATCTTGATATATAAAATAAATGTTAGAATTGCCTATATTACTTATGAAATGGATAACTGCTACCTGGCCCTTAGACATATTTTCAATTTCACTTAATGAGATATAATCACTGAAAGGAGATTAACATCCAAAAGCAAGTGAACATTCAACTCTAATTTTACAGATACTAGTTGTTGGCCTATATCAGCAAATTCCTGTACAGAGAGGAAATTACGTATCTTACTTGTCACCTCCGTTCCTATGCACATGGCACATGGGTAGCGGGCCCAGTTATGCCTTTCATGTGCATATATTTGTGACTTTTGATTTCCTGTTGGCTGGGTAAGATAAAAGTTTTCCTAAAGTAAGATAATTGGATAAAAGACAAATGAAAAAACGAGGTGGAATCTGCTACAAATAACTTAAAAAACAAAAATCAAAGCAGAAGAAAACAATAGCTATAACCAAAAAAGACTTATTACTTCCTCCTGAACTGAATTCCCATCTGCTTTTAAATGGCAACATGTTTTTCCATAAACTGGAAGCTACAGCCGAGAAGCCAAAGACAATGAGGTTCTGGCCACCGGGGAGTAGAAGGCGCAGGATGGCTGAAGACGCTACTACCCGCTTCGGCCTCTCTGGAAAGGCTGTTCCCCAGTGTTCCCATATTCTCCATCCAGCTGGCAACAAACTTACTGTTGGGACTTTTCAGAGAATTAAAGAAATGTTTCAGTTCTCTGTATACCCTCTCTCCAGAGAGGGAAAATGGAGTAACTCAGAAGGGTATGAGAAGCCATTTGAAACACTAAGCCTGTATAAGCTGTTAGGAAACAATGTTGACTCGGCAAAATAAAACACCTGGTCGGTGAAAAGAAAACATTTTTTAAAAAGTAACTTCGTTCCAACCCAGTCATTAAAAGTACCCGTATCATCTCCAGTCACTCTCTACAGCCTTTTTTGGGTTGTCATTTATTTATTTCTTTAAAGTAAGTTCTATGCCCAATGTGGGGCTTGAACTCACAACACTGAGATCAAGAGTCACATGCCCTACTGACTGACCCAGGCAGGCACCCTTCTCAACAACAGCTTTTTTTTTTTTTTTTTTTTTTTAAATATTTTTTATTTATTTCTAGGAGAGAGAGAGAGAGACAGCGTGAGCAGGGGAGGGTCAGAGAGAGAGGGAGTCACAGGCTGAAACAGGCTCCAGGCTCTGAGCTGGCAGTCAGCACAGAGCCCGATGCGGGGCTCGAACCCACGAACCACGAGATCATGACCTAAGCGAAAGTCGGACGCTTAACCGACTAAGCCACCCAGGCGCCCCTCAACAACAGCTTTTTAATAAAAAAAGCAAAAAACAAAAAACAAAAAACAAAAACTCACCACAGTTAAACATCTTATGTTTCTAAAAGACAGACACTGGTGTGAGCAGTTTCCTCATCTCTGGTTTACCTGGCCAAATTCTTATATATATAGTTAATCGTGTACAGTTTAAAATTAATATATAATACAGATAATATACTAATTATATGATATTGATGATACTACTCTCTTAAGCAGACAATTTATCGCCATTTTCATTTGATACCAAAAGTGGCCAATGAGAAACTCTCAAATCTGAAAAAGCAGCGCCTGTAGCAGCCTAACAAAGTTAGGGGGCTCTCCTTATGGTAACAAAGGGAAGTCTATTCTTCCTAAGTATAATTTTTTAAATCTCTTTTCTTTTTCTGTTTATTAAATGTTTGATGAATACGTATTATGTATTAGGTTCTGTGCTGAAGGATATGGCCTTGGCCTGAGGAGGAAACAAATGAGTTGTATCAGTGGTACAGCACTGGGTCTATACGAGTCAGGTGACTGAGTTTCCAGCTTGAATTTGTCTTACTGCTAAAAACTAAAAAAAGCAAAATGAATTTTGGCTTTCAATATTGCAGCATCATTTTCATTCTGATGGAAAGAGGTGAGGGGAAAGATGGGAACTTTGATTTGAAGCTAAATGTTATCTATCTTAGATTTCTTATTTATTAATTTTAAGACTTTTAAGAACATAATTGTTCTCTTCAAACAATAGGGTACCTGTGTGAAGTGCCTAAATAATCAGACCAAAAAAAAAAAAAAAAACAAACCCAAAACAAACAATATGAAACAAATCTGTCTTGCCCACATCGAAAATTCTAGAACTAAGATGTAGCTCTGAATAAAATTCCTATGAAGTTGTAATAATAATATATGGATTACAATTAGAACTGCAGTGGGATATACTTCCCCCACCTCAGCATTATGGGACCTAAAAATGTTTCAAGGAGACGCAGAATTTTCTGCTACTTTTCCTGTGACTATTGTTAGAAGATCTGATATAAAAATTAATGAGAAATGAATGTGCTTATATTGTAGATTCAATAAGGCATGTACTACATAAGACCTAGCAAGCTGGTACAATAATTCCTGGCACCGAGTGAGTTTTTTCCTTTCTGCCAGATGGACCTCATTGGCTTTGATTTTGTTTGCATTTCTATGTTACTATCCTGAATTACTTCAAAGTGCGAAAGGCACATTTATATCTTGCTAACTGCTCTTCCATTTCTCTCAGCTCAAGCAAAAGATTTATGGTTTCTTTCTTTGCTGTTTCCTGTAAAGGGATATATGTACACGATGCTGCCCTTCGTCTCACATCAAGAACTGAATTCTAGAAATACCTGAGCAGTCAGTTAACAGCAGCTAGATGCTCATAAGGATTATTTTTTCAGCTAGGACTGAATGTACTTCAACTGCTTCTCAAAGTACTTTCTACATGGTTTTTTTTTTTTTTTTTTTTTTTTTTTTTACCACCTCTAGTGAAAATTTCTCCTTTCTACAGGGGGAAATATCAAATATACATAGTGCATAGTTGAGACACAACAATGAGGAGATTTGGGATTTATTTTGGTTCTTGTAATTAGCTATGACTGCATGACAGACTCAGTCCAACTTTGCATGAAAATTGATCTACAATACTCTCTGAGTACCCCTAATGATCTATTATGTACTAATCTCTTAAGTATTTACAGAAGAAAGATTACAAACAATAGTAAGTAGATAGAATGCGGAATCTCAGTCTGTTGAATAACTTAGAATTAAAAAAATCTACAATTTCTTACTAAAAAAGATATTAATTTCCCAGTACAAATCCTTATCAGTGATATTCAGAAGATATTTCTATGTGAAGGACTATAGTCTGTCCTTTACTTAAGAAATGCATGTAGAAAAGATGCACAATTATGTTAATGGAATTTTATTTTGTAAATAAAAATGGCCTAATTAAAGAGCTACTAAGGAGAGAAAGAAATGTTTATCTGCCATACTTAAAATTTTCATATTCACAGAGATCTTGCTATTCCTACTGAGAGTATACTTTCACAGCTAAAGGCAGACTATCCCTTCTGCAGTTTTTATGAGAGAATCTTTGTTAACATACAAGTAGATGGACATAATTTTCCAAAATGGTAAAAGATGGTAATGATACAATTTCTGCCAAATCTTTTACTTCTGAACCTTTGCATGATATCCTAATTTCATTTTTATGCTCTCTATAAGAAAACAATATGTAAAGCTGTGTATCATTTCCATTTGATAGGTCAAGAAATCAAAGTTCAGAGAAGTGTGTGAATGATTGGAAGCTGATGTATCAAAAAAAACAGAAAGAAGAAACTTATACTTCTAACCAAGTGTTCTCTCCACTATATCGTGTTAATTCTCTGAAGACTACATTTTGTGACGCAACAGAAACCATGTAAAAACAACTGAGATATAATAGAGGCCAGGCAAAATGCAATTTAATTTAGTGATTACCTGTCATGCAGTGCATTTACTGTTTTAAGATTTCTTAACATATGGCTATTTAAAACAGCTGGCATCAAGCAGTCTTTTTGCTAGTGACCCCAACCCACTGCTCTCCTGCCACCAGGTATTTTGAGAAGAACTATCTTACCTCTGCTCCTGAATATGTATCAGTTTGGAGGATGAGTTCAGCCAAATCGACGTCATTACTGATTGGCATAGAGCGAAACTGCAGGTTAAATATTTCCCTTCTTGTTGATGCATCTGGTAATGGCACATAGATGATTCTATCAATTCTTCCAGGCCGCATCAAAGCCTGTAAAGAGGATGAGACAATGCAGAAAACCCAAGCTCAGAACTGACATTCCACATGAAAGGTACCAAAGAAAGGGGATATCTAGAATCTAAGAATAACCTGCTATTACTCATAATTGGTACATGAAACAAGTACTAGGGATTCTATAATCTATTTTAAAGACTCAAACAAATAAACCATGTTCAGAATACTTTTGAAAGTAGCAGAGCAATACTTCTTAGGCTTTCTGCTTCTCAGCAACTGTCAGGTCAATAAAAGATGGCTATTCTCTTTTGGGGAAGTGTGTAATATGCCTTGTATTCATTGTATCAAAAGACTTTTTTTTTGGAATTTCCTGCAATACCTCTTAAAATATGGGTTAAGCTGTTTTAGAGAGTCCTTAAAATAGCACAACTCTAATAAAAGAATACTTCTAGAGCTCAAAGTAGTCAAATGAACTTCTCTCATATTTTATTGGAGGCTCATGCCTAAATTATCTTAGAGCTAACGAATTCATGTATTCAGAAAACCACACTAAGCAGGCACTATACACTAGACATTGTTCTTAGTACTAGGAAATAGCATGAATAAGACAGATTTATCTACAATTGATTGTGGTGATGGCTGCATAGATCTGTGGATATACTAAAAGCCACTGAACTGTGTGTTTTAAATGGGTGAATTTTATGTTTATTCTATCTCAATAAAGTTGTTAAAATAGATACAGGTCTAAAATGTGTGTATGTGGGTGTGTTAAGGGGTTGAGACAGCTTTTAGTTGGGGTAGTGAGAGAAAGCCTCTCTGAGGAAGTAACTTATGCTAATATCCAAAGGAGTCAGCCTTAGAAATTCTGGAGGAAGAGCATTCAAGGTAAATGGAAGATCAAGTGCAAAGTCAAGAATGACTAGTATGCTCCAGGGAAAGAAGAAAAAATAATGTGATAGAGTGAATAAAGAAAAAAGAGGTAAGAAATGAGGTCAGAAAGATAGTCATAGGCAGCTGATAATGCCTTAAAAGATACAGTAATGACTATGGATTGTATTCTACTTTTAATGAGAAGTCATTGGAAAGTTTTAAGTAGAAGGTGAATTGGTAAGATTTATGTTAAAAGATAACTCATGGGTCAACATCAAAAGGTCTAGTATGTATTACTTTAATACCAGAAGGAAAAGAAAGAGAAGATGGGGCAGAAAAAATATTTGAAGAAAAAAGAGCCAAAATTTCCCCAAAATGGTAAACAAACACATTTACAAAATCAAGATTAGTGAATCTCAAATAAAATGAATACAAAGAAAGCCACACCTACACATGTCATAGCAAATTGCTGAAAACAGAAGAGAAAATCTTGAAAGCTGCTAGACTCTATATGGGGAATAATAATTTCAATCACCAATGACTCTCAGTCAAAACAAGGAAGGGAAGAAACCAGCAGAACAGTATCTTTATAGTGCTGAAAGAGGGGCACTGGGTAGCTCAGTCAGTTAAGTCTCAGATTTCGGCTCAGGTCATGATCTCACAGTTCATGAGTTCAAGCCCTTCTGTCCGGCTCTGTGCTGACAGCTCAGAACCTGGAGCCTGTTTTGGCTTCTGTGTCTCTCACTCTGCCCCTCCTCTGCTCATGCTTTCATTCTCTCAAAAATAAATAAACTCTAAAAAATTAAAAAAAAAAAAGTGCTGAAAAAATGAAAATGTCATCCTAGAATTCTAGTCCCAGTGAAAATTTTCTTCTTCTTCATCTTTTTTTAGAGAGAGAGAACACAACTGGCGGGTAGAGCCTTTATGAAAGAGAGAGAGGGAATCTCAAGTAGGCTCCACACTCAGCCCAAAGTCCGACATGGGCTCAATCCCACGACCCTGGGATCATAACCTGAGCCAAATCAAGGGTCGGCTCCTCAAATGACTGAGCCATCCAGATGCCCTGAAAATATTCTTTAATAATGAAGGAAAAATTAAGTCATTTTTAAACAAAAGAAAATTGAAAAAATTTGGTGTCGTTAAAACTGCCCTACAGAAAACGCTAAATGATGTTCTTCAGGTTTAACAGAAATGACATGAGGTGGAAACCTGAATCTTCAGGAAGAAATGAAGAGCATTGGAAATGAAACACCACAAAACTGTATATGCCTTCCACCTCCAAAAAAAAAAATCACTCTTTTTGCTGACATAATCAGAAACGAGATTTCTTGAAGATTTAAGAGACACTTATAAATAGTGAAACACAGTATGTTTCTACATGTGCACTTCTTTTTTCATCTAAACTTCTGAATAAGAAGTTATTTATTTTGAATAAGATAAACAAAAATTTCCAGTTACTTTCTGTTGTGGAGACCAGACTATTCTTCCTTGCATGTATTTTTTTTTTTTTTTTGCATGTGCACATTTTGAATGAAATATCCAGAAAAAAAGGTGTGATATAAGTAAATGTAGAAACTAAGAAGACGGGAACTCAAACATGAACATCTTCTAATTAAAAACAAACAACCAACCCCAAAACTCCTGAAAATGTAGCTGAGACCATACATAAAATACTATGGAAAATATAAACATCAGAACCCCATGTGGTTGGCTCTGTGGAAATTAGTTTTTAGAGAACAAATGTGCACATGTGCACACACACACAAATCATGATAATCTGTGAGTAAGAAACTGACCTCTATCTCTGACCCAAGAATTTCATATCTTTTGCCAAGTCCCCATGAAATTGTGGAAGGCTAATTTGTTAGCTTTTAAATAGGGTAAAGTCTCAGAACTTTTATAGTTCTTGACATGTATGTTCCTAATGATGGAGCCTAAAAATAATATAAAGTAAAAATTGATAGGATTAAATAGATAAAAGACAACTCCACAATCACAATATGAGATTTTAATTCTTAGCAATTTTAGACCTAGAAAACAAACCAGAAAGGTACAGAGGATCTGAACAAGGCTATCAATCATTGTGATCTGATATTTATTTATGGACCACTATACCCAACAACTGGAGAATACATATTTTTTTCAAGTATACTTGATATATTTACGAAGATGTCTCATATGATGAGCCATAAAACAAAACTCAACAAAGTCAAAAGGACTGAAATAATACAAAGTAGTTTTCTAAGAATAGTAAATTAGAAAGGGATAACAAGAGAGGAAAACCTCAAACACATGAAAAATTAAACAATACCCTTCTAAGTAAACTGTAGGTCAAAGAGGAAATCATAAGGAAATTAGAAAATGTTTCAAGTTGAATGCTAATGCAAATCTAACATCAAGATAAAGTAGTGCTTAGAGACACATTTATAACTTTAAATGTTGATGATAGGAAAGAAGTCTAAAACAAATGACTTATGGTTCAAAAGTACAAGGAAGGAAATAATAAAGATCAGAGTAGAAATCAATGAAACAGGAAACAAACAAAGAGAAAACTGAAAGTCAAGTGTGGTTCTCTGTAAAGATTAAAAAAAAAACAACTTTAAATTCTAACTAGATTGAACAAGGATAAAAGACAGAACAAATCACCAACATCAGAAATGGAAGAGAAGTTATCACTACATATCCTACAGAGAGCAAAAAGAAAAATAAGAAAATACTATCAATAGATTTATGACAATAAACAACTTTGATAAAAAAGAAAAATAAGCTCCTTGGGGTGCCTGGGTGGTTCAGTCAGTTAAGCGTCTAACTTAGGCCCAAGTCATGATCTCATGGTTCGTGGGTTCAAGCCCCGCGTTGGGCTCTGTGCTGACAGCTAGTTCAGAGCCTGGAGCCTGTTTCAGATTCTGTGTCTCCCTCTCTCTCTGACCTTCCCCTGCTCATGCTGTCTCTGTCTCTCAGAATAAATAAAACATCAAAAAATATTTTTAAAAAAGTTCCTTAAAAAATCCAGTTATCAAAATGGACAAAAAATGAAATAAAAAAAAAATCAGAATGGCCCTAGATGTATTTTTTAAATGGAACTGAATTAATTAAAAATTGAATTTATTATGACTTTCACACCAAAAACATTCTAGTTTTCAGTTTCATTTCTGAATTCTACCAATGAAGAAATAACAATATTGCACAACCAGTTCAGAATAAAGAACATTTCTCAAGTTGTTTTAGAATGCCAACATAATACTAACTCCAAAACCTAACAAAGATATCATAAAAAATGAAAGTTACAGATTAATGACCCTCATGAACATAGACTCAAAAATCCTTAAAAATATTATCAAATAGAACCTCACAATATGAAAAATGGATAAATCACCTTAACCAAGAGTTATTTCAGGAATGCAAGGTTAGTTTAACACTCAAAATCCAGTTGGTATAATTCACCACAGAAACAGAACACAGGAGGAAATTCACATGATCATTTTAATATGTGTAAAAAAGCTTTTGACAAAATTCAGAAAATTAGTAATAGGACTTCAATATGATAAGTAGTAACTAGAAAAACCTACAGCTAACATAATTAATATTGAAATCTTGAATGCTTTCTAACTAAGATCAAGAACAAGGTAAAAAGTCACCACTTCTACTGACAAATATAACAGAGGTACTGGTCTTTATTACAAAGGCAAAAGACAAAAGACAAAAATTAGAGGGTGGGGGGAGGAAATACAGAAGTTGGAATGGGAAAAGGTAAAACTACCTTCATTTGCAGATGACATGAGTTTATGTAGAAATACTAAGGAATCTACAAAACTACTAACAAGATTACAAGTTTATTATAAAATTACATTTTTATATATTAAGCAATAAGCTAAAAGAATATCAAGTTTTAAAAATCCACTTTATGAGAATACATAAAAAGCATAAAAAATAAAAGACAGAAATAAAATGAACAAAAAACACTTCACTGAAAACTACATCCCTACTGAGAAAAATTAAAGGCCTACATAGATACACCATATTCATGAATTAGAAGACTCAATATTATTAAGATATTCATTCTTTTCCAATTTATCTATAGACTCAATGCAATTGCAATCAAAATTTCACAAGGGCTTTGTTAAAAAAAACCTGACAAACATTATAATATTTATATAGAAATGCAA